AACCTGAAAAAAACTAACAACCATGAAAGAAATTGAATCAATAGCCAAAAGTGTCTCCTGAAAATAAAAAGAGAAGACCCAGACAGCTGACAGTTTTAAAAAGATAATTTACAGAGTCTTCAAGGAAAATAGTTCCTGCCTTAAACAAACCACTTTGGAGAATTAAAAAAAAAAAAGGAAGTCTATTAATTTATCCAATTCTTTTCATAGAAATAAATTATCAAAACTGGACAAGAACAAAATAGGAAAAAGAAAATTATATAGTCAATTCATCAATGAACATAAATGGTAAAGTTCTAAATAAAATGCTAGTAAATTTAATTCAGTTTAATTATTTAACCAATATATTAGAAAAACGTATCATGGCCATGAAATAGTTAATTTCAGAATGCAAAATATTCCACATCAGAACAACCTACTAGCTAACAGACACATGAAAAGATGCTCAACATCATTCATCATCAGCAAAATACAAATCAAACCCACCATGAGACTACCTCACACCTATCAGAATGGCTGAAGTTAACACAGGAAACAACAGATGCTGACAATGATGCAGAGAAAGGGGAAATCCTCTTACACTGCTGTTGGGAATGCAAACTGGTGCAGCAAACAGTACGGAGGTGCCTCAAAAAGTTAGAAATGGAACTACCCTACGATCTAGCAACTGCACTACTAGGTATTTATCCAAAGAATACAAAAATAATGATTTGAAGGGGTACATGCAACTTGATGTTTACAGCAGCACTATCAACAATAGCCAAATTGTGGAAAGAGCCTAAATGTCCATCAACTGATGACTGGATACATTACTCAGCAATCAAAAAGAATGAAATCTTGCCATCTGCAATAACGTGGATGGAGCTAGTATGCTAAGCAAAATATGTCAGTCAGAGAAAGACAGATACCATATGACTTCACTCATATGTGGAATTTAAAAAACAAAACAGATGAGGGGTGCCTGGGTAGCTCAGGTGGTTAAGCAGCTGACTCTTGATTTCGGCTCAGGTCATGACCTTATGGTTTGTGAGAGTGAGTCCCTCATCTGACTCTGTGCTGACAGTGCAGAGCTTGCTTGGGATTCTCTCTCTCCCTCTCTCTTTCTCCCTGCACCACTCACTCATGGTCTCTCTTAAAATAAATAAAGTTAAAAAAAAAAAAAAAGAAACGAAGCAGATGAACATAGGGAGAGAGGGGAAAAGAGAGGAAAGCAAACCATAAAGACTCTTAACTATAGAGAACAAACAGAGGGTTGATGGAGGGGAGGTGAAGTGATGAGTATTAAGGAGGGCACTTGTGATAAGTATTGGGTGTTATATATCAGTGATGAATCGCTAAATTCTACACATGAAACCAATTTTGCCACATATGTTAACCAACTCGAATTTAAATAAAAACTTCAAATTTAAAAAAATCTAGCAAGCTTCTCCATGTTTTTTAAAAAATTAACAAACCATATGACTATAAAAAACAAAAATGTAGAAATAGTATTTTATCAATTATCACTCATTCATGATTAAAAAAACAATGTTTGGCAAAGAATATAAGACAATTTTCTCAACCTGATAAAGGGCTTCTACCAAATGCTATAGCAAACATTTAATGGTGAACAGATTTCCTATTAAGCTGGGAATAAGATAGGAGACTCTCAATATCTGCTACCATAAAACACTGTACTGTAGGTCCTAGCTAATGCAGTGATAGAAAGGGGGGGGGGGACCAAATATGAGACTTTTCTCAAGGTATGGCCAGCTACATAAAACAATCCAAAGGAAGGAATAGAAAAACGATTAGAAGTAATAAACAAGGATACTGGTTCCAAATCAGTATACAAAAATCAGTAATATTACAATACACCAGCAACAGCCGTTTAGAAAATGTAATAGGAAAAGAAATAACTAACAATAGCAATGAAATCTATAATGTAGCAGAATTAATCTAATAGAAGAGACAAGAATTACTTATGGAGACAGTTACAAAACATGATTACAGGACATAAAAGACCCGACTAATAGATTACATATGAGAAGATGCTACATGGTAAGAATGTCTGTTCTCCTCAAATTAAGGTACACTTTTAAGTGCAGTTCCAATCAAAATCCCAATGGATTTTTTTTTCATAGAATTTAACATCTTAATACTAAATTCATCTGAAAAAGAATAGGAACAAAAATAGATAAGACAATTTTGAACTATAATAAAATGGAGAGATTTGCCTCTTGAAATACCAAGACTTATTATAAAGTTATAGTAGTAACAAGTAGATAGTGTTGTATGTTTGTAATGCACAGGCTGTGTAGTCTGAAAGTGCCTGCTAGGTATACCACTTCTGAAGCAAGTATTTCTATGTGAGTCTTCTCTAAGCAAGATAAACTTCTGTGACTTAAGTGTATCTGTTGAGTAAAACCAGTAGAATCTTATTCATGACTGATTTCAACAGTGCCCAAATCAACAGAGCTGCAGATAAGTTGTATACCTTGAAAGCCAACCTCCCATGTGGTTGATGCAATCTAGATTGAATAGTTTCAAACTGATTTAATAATATCTTCTTTTGGAGGGAGAATAAATGCTAGTTAAACAAAGAAAAAGTGATTTACTTGAGCTAAGGTGGGACACTGAAGTCCTAAAATATTATTCTTATTCTCCCTTTGAACTGCTGTTCATTTCAATTTTGGAAGATAAATTCCTTGGGTGGCTACATAACCAAATGAGAGATGACTTTCCTTTCTACATCATATTCTTAGATCTCTTTGCAATTAAATTAATTCACATAGCACTTTGTATCTCTTCCTTGCAGCCTTAACAAGACTGATAAACAGGAAGACCAGGGTTTGATTGGACTTGAAGCTCATGTAATTTTGGAGTGGGGTGCTTTTTAAAGGAAAAATGCCAATGATGACTAGGAGAATTTCCACAGATTAGCTTCTGGTTCTGTATATTTCAAACCTTTTTTCTCCTCCTCTACCCATGTATTTCCAGGGCCAGAATTCCTAGGACAAGTTCATATCACAACCCAAACTTTAATCCTGCACCTTCATGGCACACTGTTTTGTGTTAATGATATCTCTGGAAGCCATTCCTATGCCTGGATGCCTAGCGATCATTTAACTCCACTTGAAATTTATGTGAATCAAATAAATATGCCCCACTAAATTCAAAATTTCATTTGTCAGATCCCCTAAATGCCAGACCACTGAGAAACCACCCACCAGGAGGGAAAATGAAAGAAGGGAAGTCAGGAGAGACACAGCAGTCTTAGGCAATTGAGATTTAAGTATCTTACTTTGTCTGATTTTACAAAAACAGAATGGCCATGTGAACACATTTCTAGGGCCCTTCCCAGGGTTCTGGAGAGAGCCATGTAAGGAGGGGACCCTGCATTAGCTTGAAAGTACATCATTTGCTGATATTCAATGTCAGCACAATATTTTTGAAAACGCTAATAAAGGAAAATCCTCACTAAATGTCCACTGCTGATAATCACTAATTAGTTAAATCTCCGGTCATTGGGTTTATTCTCGACTCAAAGTTGGGAACTTATTCACAAATTTACCTATGATCCTAGCCAATTAAGAGAAAGAATGATCTTCCTATCGCTGCAACTGGAACTCATTTGCTTCTTACAGTTTCTGTATTCACTTGCCCATCTTCTGTTCCCTGAAATTCTGTCCCAGTCTTACACTTGACCACCCCTGCATATTTGTATTTCTCTCCTCTCCCCTTTACCACTTCATCCTTCTTCCAGCCAAATACAGGTACATATGCTTAGTCCTGGTAATCCCTCTCCCAATAAATTCTGATATATTCTATTAGGAGAAGTAAAAGTCTTCAAAATATGAAATATTCATTGGTGAAATGGCCCCTTGTGAAATTGTTCCCCACTAAACACTGTTCGAGCTGCTAACCCTAGTGCCTACATCCACTCCTATCAAAGTCTTAGCCATCCATTTGGAAACATCCAGTCCTCAAAAACAATAGAAATCTACTGCAAATCTTGCAAAGGATGTGGACTTTCATAAAATTCATGAAAGTGATGTTTGCACCAACCTGCAACGTCACTAATAAAGGGGGATCTTAGAGCGTTGTCCCCTTAGCAAAGGGGAAAAAAACAAAATCAGTAAGAATAATGATGACATCAATGCTTCAAAAGGAAAAAAAAAATTAGTTTCAAAGGATTAAGAAAGGACCTTGGGTTGGGGCACCTGGGTGGCTCAGTCGGTTAAGCGTCCGACTTTGGCTCAGGTCATGATCTCACGGTCTGTGGGTTCTAGCCCCACGTCGGGCTCTGTGCTGACAGCTCAGAGCCTGGAGCCTGTTTCCGACTCTGTGTCTCCCTCTCTCTCTGACCTTCCCCTGCTCACGCTCTCTCTCTCTCTCTCTCTCAGAAATAAATTTAAAAAAATTAAAAAAAAAAAAAAAGGACCTTGGGAAAACTGGATAAAGGCCTCCAACATTTCTGCAAATATGACCCTTGCAAAAATCATATGCAAAGTGAAGGATAATGAGCTATATAAAAATAACTGTGCCCACAAATTAACACTTGATTTATCAGAATTAGCACATAGTTTTAATTGTGACCTTAAATGTTAAATATAAGATACATTCATTTTCATAATTTTTTGATTGCATTAATTCAAGATAAAGTCTCAATCAAGTCTTTTTCTTTCACTATAGGATCTGGGTCTTCATCTTAAATAGATTCACTTTGGGAGGACCCTTCCTGGAAAAAGGAAGAGGGAAAGGAAGACCTCTTCTACTCATCTCTGTTTTCCAAACACACAATGACATAAGAATCCCCTCAGGAAACTAAAACGTGCAGACTTTTGGGTCCCCTGCCAGATTAGCTCTGAATCTTTAACAGGATAACAGAATTTAGGACTCTAACTTTTTGACAATCATCTTAAGGGATCCTTGTAATAATTAAGCAGATGTGGAAATAAACACCTTAACTAATCCAAAGGGAAATGATTAAGTTTATTCTCTCTTTCCCTCTCTCTTACCTTTATGAAGTCTTTTTAAAATGTCATCTGTAGTGACTGCATTCCTTTCTTCTTTCTTTTATCCTTTTTGCATGCTCATTTTCCCAGATCTAATCTATAAACAAAAAGTTTTTATAACACCTTTGAAAACAAAAAACAAAAAACAAAACCAGAACTCCTTTTATTCTCATTCCTTTAAAATTGAGTGTAAGTGATTTGTTTCAAATTTCTTTTTCAGCCTGCATTCTCATGAGTGCATTTCGCTCTACATTCATTTGGACATTAAACTGCTTTGCAAATATTATCATATTCTGTCTGCTCTTTCTGTGCTGCCTGATTGTCAGCTCCTCAAAGACAAATACCACGTCCTTCATTGCTTCTGCACTTCCCCCACTGAGCCTAGAAGACGAAGACTGACTAGTGTGCAGTATGCTTCACGCAGTGGGTGCTTAATAAATGTTTTGAAACAATATTAAAATGTTGAATAAATTTGACAGCAGTGCTACTCCTTATCACTTCAAATGCCAACACTTTCTAGGTCCCTTCTCTGCCTAGCAACCATTTCCCAACATATCTATATGTCTCCAGGCGTTTCATCCAAGGTGCAGCTCTCTTTTGATCCAGCTTTCCTTACCTGAGTTATGGAAATATTGTTTACATGTTTTCTCTTGAGGAGTATCTGATCAGCACCCAAAGACTCTATTGTGCACCCTGAAGTTGCCTTTTTTCCCTTGGTGATAGTGGGGAAAAGGAGAAATACAGTAAGGATGAAGGTTTCCTTTTGGGTTCCCTTTTTTCTCCCCAAATCATCTTTCACATTAAGACACAATGCCTCAATGCATATTTTCATACCTTGAAGGATATTTTTCATTGTTAGCACTTGAAAAGTGCTAAGGAATTCAAGTAAGACGTATTTTAGTCACGGTATTGTTTCTTCACTAGTTTTATTATTTCATTTTTTAATGACTTACTAGCCAGGCAGGCAACATTTCTTTTATAACATCATTCTCCTATGAAATATTATTTCGTGCCTATGAAAAACACCCCTCAATTAATATTGTACGGATCTAATGCGGTAACGTAACGAAAAGCCTTCTTTTTTTTTTTTTTTTTTTTGCACAGGGCATTGTGTTTTGCAAAGCACTTTGGCACCCATCCATCAGCTTATATAATCCTCACAAAAGGTTTGCTAGGTAGATGGCATACGGGTCATTATCCAGTATGAGCAAAGGAAATGCAGAGACGTTAAATGACTTGTCCAAAGTCACACAGCTTGGAGGGACCCACAGGGCAACAAGACTCTACCTAGAGCCAGTCCCATTTTCCGTGTCTGCCAGTCTCATACAGTTCAACTTCTCATAAAAACCTCGGCTACGTCAGTTGAGAAAAGAAGGGCTGCTAGGAAACAGCAAGCACCAAGCAATAGATCCTGCGTAGGTAGAAAAAGGAAGCGGGGGTGGGAGAAAGGATCACATTGTGCATGCGCAGATCGCTATTGCGGGCCCCGGACCGCGAGAAAGGTTGAGGAAAGACGCCGAGTTCTTTGTCTCACTCTATCGCCTACCTTCAGCTAACGCGCAAGCGCACTTCCTCAGGCTGAAGGTCACAATAAAGGGGGAGGGCCGCGGAGTCGCGCAGGCGCGCCTCTCCGCCGGATTGCCAAGATGTCGTTCCCGAAGTACCAGCCTTCGCGCCTGTCTACCCTACCCTCCACCTTGGACCCAGCCGAATACGACATATCTCCGGAAGCCCGGAAGGCGCAAGCCGAGCGGTTGGCCATAAGATCCCGACTTAAACGGGAGTACCTGCTTCAGTACAACGACCCCAGCCGCCAAGGGCTCATCGTGAGTCGGGGGCCGGCCGGGCGGGAATCAAGGGCCACAGAGTCCGGGTTGTCCCCTCCGGCCGGGCAGCCCAGACCGGCCAAGGGAGACCCCGCAGCGGGGCGGCCACCGTTCCGATCAGCATCTTAGACTGGCCCTTTTCCAGGCTCAGAGCGCAGGCCAACCCACTAGCCCTTTGACCTTGGGCGGAGAGTTTGGTCATCCACAAGACGCTTCTCCATTCACACCGGGCTGGGTTTGAATCCTGTCTTGTTCACTTCCCGCTTGGGTAATCCTGAGAAAGCGACACAAGTCTCTTGCTTAGCCTCGGTTTTCCTACTTGAAAAATGGGATAATACAGTGTATCCTACTTTATGAGGCTGTTATGAGGATTAAATGAGACAAGGCACACCACCGGCCAACATAGTGCCTGGGCTGTAATGAGTGGTTCAGAAAATATGTGTATTATTTGTTTTTAAAGCAGTTTTCCACCTTTCAGTTCACAATTCATAGCAATACTGCTCTCTCCTGATGGGAATATAGTGATTTTTCAATTTATATCTTTTAAACACCCCCAAAACTCTGCAGCTGTTGAAGTTTTGGTCTTTGGAATCATATGCCAAGGCAGCACATATTGGTAAACTATATGATCTTAGGCAATTTGCCTATTCCTTCCAAACATTAATTTTTTGATCTTATGTGGGAATGGTAGTACACTCTTTATAGAGCCATTGTGAGGGTAAATGAGATAGTTTGTATTAACATTTCAGGCACTTAATATAAAACCAGTAGACTGATAGCTATTATTATTTAATGAATGTGCTTTTTGATAATTTTCTGTCCAAGAGCTGTTTAAATATGAAACAACAACAACAACAAAATCCACTTTTCCCAACAGTTGCATTCGTGTTCTGTAGGACTCTTTAAAAGTTATGAGAATTGAAGGAAATTTAAATTGTGCAGGCACTCTCCAAACCCTTTCTGAATATTATTCAAATGTTACAAGTATTCAGAATTAGGCCCTGTTATTAACCCCATTTTACAGACTAGAAGACAACATGGGAAGGACAAGTAGGTCACAGAGTGATACTCCCTAGCAAGTGATAGAGCAGAATTTAAACCTTGATCTTTGTAACCCAAAACATCTGCTTAACCAGTTGGCTGTACCAACTGTAGTTAGAACTGGAGAAGAAGGTGTTTACTTGAGAAAGTGTGGAGGGAGACGTTTGTTATTTACATACTCACACAGGTGGGTTTGAAGTTTAAACCCCAGATTGTCTTTTTTCCAGTTCTGTGCCCTAGGACAGTTTCAGTTTTGTCATATAAAAGAGACAGTAATACCTGACTCATTGGTTCTGTTAATTAAATGAATGCCTGGCACTTAATCATTTAGTGATCAATATATAGAAATTCCTTGCCTAATCTTTAAGAATGATTGATTGAGTAAATAATTGCTATAATAGGCTAGGCCCTGTGTTAGATGCTGAAATGACAGTGTAGATTCCCGTCCTTGTAGAGCTTTCTTTCCAATGGGGCAGGCAAGTAATAAACAGGTTTAAAAACTAAATAATTTAGGGGGGCAGATGGGTGGCTCAGTCAGTTAGGTGTCTGACTTTTGATCTCGGCTCAGGTCATGATCTCATGGTTTGTAAGTTCAAGCTCCATATCAGAGTCTGCCCTGACATCATGGAGGCTGCTTGAGATTCTTCCTCTCCCTCTGTCTGCCCTTCCCCCATTTGCTCTCTCTGTCTCTCTCTCAAAATAAATATAAACTTAAAAAAGTAAGTCAGCATGTTGGTGATAAGTAGTAAGAAAAATAAAGCAAGGAAGGGGATTAGGAATGTGTGTATATGGTAGGATGTATATGATAGGAGCTGAAATGTTAGATATCCCTAGGGAAGGCCTTCCGTGGAATGTGACATGAAGGAAGTGAGGTGAGGGAGCTAGCCACACAGCTCTTTGGGAAAGTAGCATTTTAGGTAGAGGAGACCGATGTTAAAGTCCTTAGACAGGAGTGTGCCTGATTAGTTTCACAAATACTGAAGAGACCATTGTGACCAAAGTGGAGACAGGTGAGAGCAAAGTAGGAAGAAATGAGGTCAGAAAGGTACTTGGAACTAGATCACACCAAGACTTATAGGCCATTGTAAGGACTTTTACTGAGTAAGTAATGTCCTCTTATACTTTAACATCTCTCTGGTTGCTTACCTGAAAATGCATTATGGAGGACAAGAGCAAGGAGTCTAGTTAGGAGGCTTTTGAGGTAATCAGGGTTTTGGCAGTGGAGGTGGTAAGAAGTGGTGAGTTCTGAGTATGTATTGACAGTAAAGCCAACCAAATTTATTAGCAGATCGGATGTGAGATGTTAGAGAAGGGTGAAGAATGACTCCAAGGTTTTTGACTTAAGTTATCAGAAGAATGAAGCTGCTTTTTACCAAGATAGCAAAGAATGTGAGAGGAGCAGAGATGGAGATGGAGTGGAACATTGGTAAATCAGTTTGGGATACATCACATTTGATGTGCCTGTTAGACAACATGACAGTGTTGAGCAGGTAGTTGGATATTATGTCTAGAGTTCAGGGTAGAGGTCTGTGGATGTAAAATTTTGGGAGTCCTCATCCTACAGATGGATATTTAAAAGCCATGTGACTGGAGGAGATAATCAAGGGAATGAATGTAGATGGTAAAGATGAACAAAGGGGTGCCTTGGTGGCTGAATCAGTTAAGTGTCTGACTCTTGACTTTGGCTCAGGTCATGGTCTCACAGTTAGTGAGTTTGGGCCCCAAATCAGGCTCTGCACTGACAGTACGGAGCCTGCTTGGAATTTTGTCTCTCCTCTCTCTGCCTCACCCTGTTTGCTCTCTATCCCTCTCAAAATAAATAAAAATAAACTTAAAATAAAAGACCAGTAAGGTCTAAGAGCCAATATTAAGAGTTTAGAGATATAAGGAAATAGAGAGCACAAGAGACCAAGAGGGAATGGCCACAGGGTTAGGAGGAAAACCAGGCAGGTGTGTGCCCTGAAAGCCAAAAGAAATGGTTTCAAGGATTGTTCACCATGTTGGGTGCAGCTGATAGTTCTTTGGCCACAGAGTGGTGTCAAAGAAGGAAAACTGTCTCCTATGGAATGTGTTTTGGAACCTCTCTTAACAACAGTACCAGGCTCAATAAACTATGGTCATGGGGCTATTGATATTTTCATGAAATGAAGTATCTGTGTCTGGAAGACAGATCTGGCAGATAAATATGTAGAGACGTGACTGGCAGATTGAGAATTCTGTCATGAGAGAATCATTCAAATACATTAATAGCAGAAGGGATAGATACAAGAATAGATGTATTTATTCTTTCAGGTATTGACCTCAGACATCCCCTTGTACCTATCTATCTTATGTCTTCACCTGTACTGTTTCCCTGCAGACATTTTCATTTAAAAATGGAAGACCAGTTTAATTATTTTAATCTTACCAATCATGACTTCCTTGGTGTTGTATAGGACCTTGAGTTCTTCTTTAGTATTAAAGTTTTAAAGCTAATTTCATTTGCTTATTTTTAATCTGCCCATCAGTTAATTGGAGCAAATAATTTTTATAAAATCATTTGGGGATTTTAGCTAATTAAGTTTAATTATGTGTTTGGGGCAGATTTACTATCTTATATCGTTATTCTAGTATAAATATATTAAAATGGATAATTACTTTTTTCTTAAACCAAGACAGTCTGATTTTTTTAACAACCGTGTCCTCACTATAAATTATTTTAATAGTGTTAAATATAATAGTTTTGCTTGTAAAATATATGCCAAGTCAGCTTAAGGAAATTAAAGTTCAGGGTTAGCCTACCTCAGTTTTCACCTTCCTGCAATTTATATGTTGCCTGGAAAGACAGGGCAGGGTGGGG